TTTTTTTTTTTTTTTTTTTTTGCGTTTTGGTGGTTTTTGTTGTCTATCAAACATACCAAGTCACAAGGAAGCGAGCCATGTTGACAAATCCAACGTTCCTGCACATGAGCAGAGTATTATTTGCAGCAAAACGGCTGTGCATCATCAGTAATGCGCATGAGCAGAATATTATTTGCATGTAGTATTTGCATTTGTCTTGGCCAATTAAAACGACGGAAAAAATAATTTAAATGATAATATATGTTGTCGCGCTAACAACTAAAGCGGTCATCTTCAGCGGGGGTACTACTATAGTTTAATTTATTTGTAATAAATTTACTTATAAGGTACAGTTGTACCTGTAGAAAAGGACTTGGAAGTTGCTCTTTGGTAAAGTTACCGAAACCAAACGAACCAATCCTGAAGGTTCTTGGTTCTAGATCCTGGTCCAACTTATGTGTGATAACAACTCGTTGCGCAGGCGCAGTGGCATTTGGATCATTCTCGAAGCGTATCTTGTAGTCCAGTAAGGTATCTTCGGCAATAAACCGAGCATCTCCGAACCCTGTCGGCCCGATTATGTCGTTCTAAAAGAGTAAAAAAATGCGGGGAAAAGATGTTATTATCTTACTGATTTGCATACAAGGGAATTTGCTGTTCGTCGCGAGCGTAGTGCGTATCCAAATGAGGTGCCTATGCTCCCCTTTTCTGCTCAGGAGTTTGTACAAATATGGAAAATACCATATATAGGAATGAAAGAATGACATTGATGCGTTTCCCCATTGCAATTGAAATTCTAGACTTTCCTTTAAGTGAATGCTGTTGTTGTCATTACTGTGATTGCGGTTCTTGATTCCTTGCCAGTTGTGCAACACAAGAATAGACTCAACAATAATTAATGAGAACACAAAAGAGAAAACCACTAGCATAAACTTTTGACAACTTTCTCCGCGTGAATCATTAATAGTTTGAGAAGCCATATCAAGCACTTGAAAGAGTGTTTCATCCTCTAGCTCTATCCAAACAACTCGAAGCTGGTCAAGAAACACGGCTCCGCCTCGTTTTTTTAACTCACTTCTCGGTGTTTGGAAATCGAATGAAATACTCTTTTACGTGTTTGATATATTATTACTTAAATTGCAAACGAAGAAGAGCATTGACTCTAGTAGGTACGTTCTCCATCCGATATGGCTCGTATACCTACCGGGTCCAGTGACTGTAGCCAATCCATGAAGTCATCATGAATCTCTTTGAACTTCTCTTTAAGCTTTTGTGGATCCTTGAGAACTTCCCAATATTTCTTTAAGAGGTTCACCACAGAGTTAGTTATGAAGCCACTGTACAGATTGTCCAGGAAATCTTTAACAGCTTTACTCTTGATTAATTTTGTTAATGCTGAAATCGAAATACAAAAATATTTGCATATATATAAAGGATATTACATGGGCGCGCGGAGATACGAAATTTATCTTCGAGTGGTGAAAAGATCTCACGAGTGAGCGCAGCGAACGAGTGAGAGATTTTCAACACGAAAAGATAAATTGCGTATCTCCAAGCGCCCATGTAATATTCTGTTTATTATATAATTATCAATGAAGTATGTGTTGGCTTTTTCAGGCAATTCTTTCCGTGTATTTTTGAATAGCCATCGCAATGGTGTTATTTT